TAGACCCTTCAGTTTTTGATACCTAATTACTACCTATGAAATGATCATGTTGATCACATAATACCATTCTTTAACAACTTTTCCAATGCTTTCCATGCCTTGTCTTCACTTAAGCATACTTAAGTAAGACTCATACTTGATCTACTTTGAAAGGATTCAAGACTGTGTTTTACAATATGGTGCACAAAAACAGCCTGCAGGCAACTGTCATTTTCTATAGGAGGGGTAAAAGGGAAAGTTTTGCCCTTTTCCATTTTTAGAGACAGAACAAGCAAGGCAGGAAAACCCAATGATTTGCAAAGTCTCGTAAAGCAGTTCCACAGTAGGCGTCGCAGGCAGTGCCTTGGCCTTGGGTAGAGTTTCTGAGAGATTTTGTCTAACTGACCAAATGGCATCAAGTTGTAGCAGTCAGGTGAGGTGTGAGGAGGTGGGGCCGCCCTGAGTCACAGAACCACAAGGAATCTAGTTTCCTGCCAATTCATGAAATACTGGACTGGAGGTGTCCAAAAGCTTTATGCCAGGGAACCAGCAAGCATTAGGCTGATGACTGATGATAGTCCATTGTTACTGTGCCAACTGGAAATGGGATACCAGATGTTTCTGATTTCTGCCACGTGGATTGGGTAACTTAGGAGAGTGTCTACACCTGAAGGAGACTCAAGACATGTCACACAAGGTGACAAAGGTGCTCAATGACTGGTAACAATGACAACAGCTGTGATGATGAACGATGCCTACGTGAAAAATGATTATTCATTTAAGCCAATGGAACATTTCAGGATATAGCTATAGGTCTATATTTTATTTCCAGGTGAGAGGATAAGGAAGTTAGAGGAAGAGTCCTATTTACCAGCACTTTAAAAGCTTGGATCTGTGAGAGAAAATATCAGTACAGCTTGTGAGTAATTTCTGTAAATGCCTCCAGGTGAATGCTGGTGAGTAGGCCATGGCCATATAGGTTATATTTTATATCTCTAAGGCCCAACAATAAGACATTTGGAAATATCTAGGAATCCAGGTATGGGAAGAAAAAAAAAATCACCATTGAACATATTTTTCCCCAACATAAAATTAATATGGTGTGGTAAAGTTTTCAAATGCATCTCTAAAGTATTATTTCTGTGTGCAATGTAGAGAGCACCGAGCTAAAAGAAAGGAAAATAATCTAGCCACGATGTATGCTTTCATGGCTACATTAGTGGGTAAAAGCCACTTGTGAATTCATTCACGGGAAAGGTAATTTCTCTCCACTTAGCCTCGGGCTGGATGCAGGTGTATCAGCCAGGGAACAAGAAAGCCACCCAGCGCTAGCCTCCAGGAAAGGTGGTTTTAAACAGGGCCACCCGGCAGGGACCAACCTCAATACCCGGTTTTGAGATGCATGGTTTCTCCATTTTCTTTCCATGAAATAGGTTATGTAGATCTGACACCCACTAGGATAATAGCTTACTTGGCTAAAATGATCTCACTTGTGGGTACACAGATTATTTTTACTCCTCAGTAACTTCCTCAAGAGTCATAGCAAAGAATTCTCTCCCAATAAGAATACTGAACCTTTTTCTCTAATTAGTGAGAATAACTTATTTCCAGAGACACCTGTGAGTTTCTTAAAATAATAGAAAGTAAACTTACTAGATATTCTGATCTATACTACCAGGGCTCAGTGAAAATAAGGAAAGGCTAATTAAAGCCATGAAGAGAGAGGACCTTTGTGTTTACCTAAATTGGGGGCTGATTGTCTCCATTAATTGCAGCACATTGCAAGTGAGAACACATGTATGTGTTTGTTCCTCACTCGAGCCTGGTAGTTTCACACAGAGGAAAAATATTCAGACCATCACCACGAAGTCTAGGCAGTACTGGGACACACATCTGCTGTGAGCCACAAGAGGGCCAGATGGAAAAATAATTCAAGCACACACTGACTTGATGGTGGGGGTAGTGGCTTAAGTTATACAAAAGTTATAGCAGATTTAGCTGGGAAGTTTTTTGGCTGAAAGATCTCACTAGATGGCACATAATGCTATTGGTATTTTAACATTTACCCTGCCTTCTTTCTAAATATATTTAAGAGAAAAGGTAAAGAAGTGTTTAATGTTTTCCTATCTTCTGCGATTAAAAGTTCTCCAGAATCTTTAATAAAAAAAAAAACCATAATGTGACCTTTAATCCCAAGATATATATAATTCAGTCACAAATATCTGTTTTTCCTTTTCTTTGCAAACATAACTCTGAAACGTAGGCTGCAGTGTATGCAGATATTGCAGAAGGGGTCGAAGGAAAGGGGTGGTGTGGCATGAATGGGAACATCGCCACAAATACTGGGGTACCATGACGTCCTGATAAATGCCTGAGCTGAGCATGAAAAGATGGCTTCTACCCCCCAGGATGGTGCCAACAAGATCCGCAAATGGTGCCCCTTCCCATTTATTTGAGTCTCAGTAATATATGGATAATCCCATCTCCCCTCAGCTTCCTCAGATGCCCGAGAAGGTGTTAAACAGTAGCACTTGGGAGGGAGGGACAGAGCACTACCCAAGTGTGAAGATGATCATATGATTCCACAAGCAGAGAGAATGAAAAAGTGAGTCAACCTGGGCATGTTTGGACCACATAGTGCCAGGTGTTTGGAGCAGGACAAACATCTGGATGCGTGATTTGATTTTTTTATTCTTCTTCCCCCAGATGTTGGGATATTGTAAATGTTAGGGGTAAGCAAAAAATTACTTTGAGCCTTTAAAAATGGGACCTGGTAAAAAGAAAAGACTATGAATTGGAGGCTAGTAGAATGCTTCAGAGAACAATAGCAAGCTAGGCTGAGAAGAACCTTGCTGCCAGTCCAACTTCGTGTTTCTGCCATAAGGGCAAAGGTCTCCAAATCAGAAGGAAGTCTTAGCACTTTTCTGAGACAATCCTCTCATAGCATTTCTTCTTATACACTTATAATTGCCAATTGTGGAATTCAGTGATGTATGAGGACAGACTTTAGATTACTTTGCTGGTTCTGACTGATGGGGATAATTACTTAATGTATGACGGACAGCTTTCCCGGGTTCCACAAGAACCACTGCTTTGTTTTTTTGGACAAAGCAAACATCATACAACGCTATTTCATTAATTTGTAATTATGTCTCATTTCAAGCCCAGTATTCCTATTTCATATGCGTGTGGTGTGATTTCAGTCAAACATTCTCCCAGTCTGAGTCCCTTCTCTGGAGAGGAAAATGACATCTACTATTAATCTTTCTGAAAGCATACTGAAATAACTTTATTTTCCCCCAATGCATATTGCAGGTACCCTAGATAAGTATTTTCTATGTTCTTCCTAAGTTTAAAATATTCTGCCTTTTGGGGCACCTGGGTGGCTCAGTTGATTAAGCATCTGCCTTCACCTCAGGTCATGATCGCAGGGTCCTGGGATTGAGTCCCACATCAGGCTCCGTGCTCAGTATTGGGCTTCCTGCTCAGTGGGGAGTCTGCTTCTCCCTCTCCCTCTGCTTGTGCTCTCTCTCTCTCTCTCAGTTGCTCTTTCTCAAATAAATAAAATCTTTAAAAAAACATATTCTGCCTCTTTAATTGGGCAGAACAGCCTCAACTTTGACCATCACTGGGCAAAATACTCAAGGAACTGCCTTTTCATCACAAACATCAAGAAGACTAAAAGTTTTGAGGACAAACAATTTTTATAGATACTGACAGTTCTCTCTCAGCTTGGGGCCGCTCTGTATTTCCCAGTTTAGACAACCATTCTGTAAACTGGAGAAGGTACAACTTTTAGAGTTAAAAGTCCCAAGATTAAGTGTTGAACCACAACTTTGCGGGGGAATGTTTTTCATATCGCCTCTGGCAATACCACAATTCAGATAGAGCAGGGATACCAGGCAGGGTCTGGAAAGCACAGAGCTGTCCTAGAACAGGCTGTTTTCCTGATTCTTCGAGTCTCAGGATTTTCAGACCAACATTACTCATCTATGACCGAGCCATCTGCCCAGGACAATCTTCCACGGCTCAGGGACCAGCAGGAACTGGATGTGATAGAAAGCTGCAGGGAAGCCAGCCGGCTCCTGCAGAATGAGCCCCGAGGCTTGGAGAGCCAGCGAAGACTTGGACAGACAAGACTGTGGCGTTACACCCAGTTCTGCTGAGTTCATGCAGTCCTGCCTTATTTGACGCCATATTTAGTCAGCCCTCTGAGAGTTAAAAGTTGAGCTTCTCTGTTGCCTTCCGTTGGCTAAGCCTCGGTCAGGCTGCAAGCCATAACACCCGGTCACACTGAACAGTGCTAGCTGCAGGCTCGTCAACACGCAGTGTAGATGGCAGTGCCCAAGACCCATCCTCTCTGTTAATGTGAGAGAAAACGGACCCAACCGTCCTCAGAGCAATTAGGAAAACAGCTGATGCTCTCAGGCTGCAGTGCACAACATGGTTTTTCTCCAAATAAAGCTAAGATGACAGACAATTTCTCCAGGGAGAGCCTGTCTGCACACAAGCGTCTACACCCCCACCACACGCGCCAGTGATCGCTACTATCTTCCCTTTCTCCTGCTTCAGTGTTTGACTTCTATTTCCACTAAGTCTGCCTTTTTCCTTGCTTGCTTTGATTAATTTTATTCTCCATCGGTTTAATTGGAAACAGACCCATAATTCTTAAGGTCAGAACATTCTAAAGTGGTCGCTTTACTGGGCAGAGCCAATAAATAAATAATATCCAAATTATGGGGTACTAAGTTAATTCCCTGTGATTTAGGAAGAAATGCCCAAGTAAGCCTTATTTTCAATATTCTCCCTTCTCAATGACCATGCACTGACAATCTTCACACATAATATTGCTTTAGTAGAAGTGGCTCTGAAGGCAGCTGGTTTATTAGTGTGGTGCAGTTGCCCTGAGTTTACCCTTAGTTACTACTCAGTACCACTTTGCACATAGCACTGGTCCCTACTGCCCAGAAGCCTAACACGAATTACCCCATCAGAGTTCCCTCTACCCTCCCAGCACTCACCTTGGGGATGCTGAGCTGTTTCCGGAGAGGAGGCGGCTCCCAGGAGAGCCTCTTGTGAGTCTAGAGACGGAGGGCTCCTGCGCAGAGAGGTGGGGGAGGCAGGGGCTGCCGGGGAGGTCAGGTCCAAGGAGAGTTCACCTCTGCCCCGGCTCACACTCCGGCTTCTCAGTTCCTTCTCGTGCGCCTCGGCTGCCAACTGTTCCAAGTATTTGTATCTGAAAGTTAAATTCCAAAGGGTTTCCGTAAAAACAAAGAGGAGCCCGTGGCCGATGCTTGTTTATGGCTGAAACACCTGCAGAGTGAGCTGGTCTCCTGATGCACAGAGCACAGCACAGGGCTGGCTGGAGGGCCAGTCTGCCAAAACCAGCCAGCAAAGCCAAGATGCTAATGATTAAAAACCCTGCATCATTCATAACCAAACAAATTGGGAGAAATGGCAACATCACACAGTCTCCAGATACTGGATCACTGCTGCAGAATCCGATTTTGCCCTTTTAGGAAACATGTGTACAAATAAGCAAAACAGCAATAATGCCCACTACAGAGCCCCAGCAATGACAGCTGAAAACCACACGCACTCAGAGCTTGCAGCTGTGAGATGGGAGGGTGGCTCGGTGCGGCGGAGAGCAACAGTGCCCCCAAAATACCAAAAGGGGTTGTTGGACGAAGCCCTCCCTGAATTTCTGAACCTGCTTCAATGCTAACAGCAATGCGACTGGAATTCACTTTGTTCTCTCAGTGTCGACCATGGAAACTTTTTTATATTCTAAAATATTTCTGAGTAGGACTCAGCCATCCAATAGCTTGGACCTGACGTCACATATAGTTTATTCATCAAAGTCAGTTTAAAAGAACAAAGATACATCTGTTTTGCATTTCAGGCAGGCAGAACCCACTAACTGTTTATTAAGACCAGCTACCAATCATATTCCTCATAGTGCGCTTTATAGATCAGACCAAAATAACTTTGAAATATGTGCCTCTTCCAGATGTCTGCTAATTTTACCCACCATTATTTGTTCAGAAATAAATTTCTGAATTCAGCTGGAGCAGGTCTCTATCTCACCAACCACTAAACTTTGAGACAGGTTATTCAAGACCCTCACTCACATCCATCCAGACTCACTGCTTCAGTTCCTCCCAATGGGCAAGCCCCCCAACTCTAGCCCACTGGAGCCCCCACCAGACACTGCACACGGCATTCCAAATTCACTCGCATAAGAAAGGCAGGGCGCATATATAAAACCTTTAAAAAAAATGCATTGAAAAAGCATGCATTTCTTTATGCATCCGTAAGGTGGGTGTGGCTCCCCCATGTCTGTCTGTCCGTGGTCCTCACCCCTTCACCCTGCCAGGCCAAAGGCAATCTGCCCCACAGGCCAGGCTCACACTCGTATCTCCCTCAGCGAGGCCTGCCTTGACCACCACAGCTGGAAGTGATCTTGGCCTTGCCTCTGAACTCATGTCGGATATGTAGTCCATTCAACTCAGATGGCATTTTACATTTACAGCCTGGCATATTTAGTCATCTTTTCGCATGTGTGTGTCTGTTCTCAACAAGCAGATAATAGGATTTCTGAGAACAGAAGATTAGCATCCTTTGTTCTTTCCCTCGGCGCCTTGCATTTGCCAGGCCGAGGGGAAGCAGGCAAGGCGTGCGGCGAGGAGCCTTCGAGGCAGCACGCCACCTGCAGAGGTCTCCCTGCAGCACCTGGAGGCCCAGGGTGGCAAATGCAACCATCTCCCTTGCTGATAAAGGCATGTGATGGGTCTGCACACACAAACGTCTGGAGAGTGGCTGCCTCACGGTGACAGGGTGAGGGAACTCTGCCCCGACAGAAAGCTTTAGAAACTCTGGACTTTCCTCGCCAACAATGTCACCTCTCAAAAGGTAGGAGAGGGAACAAAAGGAAGCTATTTCTGAACTTAACTTGGACCAGCAAGGAAAACCACCTGGCTGCGGAATCTTGGAAGGAAGTGACCTTGAGGGCAAGAGTCAGAGCCCCAAGAGGAGGCAGGTTCTAACTGAGGTGGTGGAGCCCTCAGGCCAGCAATGCTGAGAGCCCAGGAGGGGTGCGGGAGGTATCCCCACGCTGAGTCCAAGCCTTCTGCCACAGGAGAAAGGGGCGGCCAAGAAATGGAGTGCAGACAAGGAGACCTACAAAGGTCCAAGGCTTCAGGCCAGAGGACAAGCCATTCATGACCTTCATTTCAGGCAGCCCAGTCCTGGATCTGGCCTCTCCACACCCCTGCGGGCAGCCAGACTAGCAGGGATGTGGGGTTCACCCCACTTCCCAGGGGATGCCAGGGGTTGTTCATCCAGAGTCTGGATAGATACGACTCAAAGGTTTCCTGCACACCCTCTGCCTCATAGATGTCATCCATAGAGGATCCAGAGGACATGGGAAGAGTCAAGGATTTAATGTGAATTCTTCTGAGGCTTATCTGGTAGACAAAAATGGCAGGGCCTGGGGGCTTGTTTGATGGGTATCAAGTTTCAGTTTTACAAGACGAAAGGAGTTCTGGAGATGGTCACACAACAATGTGACCATACCTACCAATACTGAATTGTACGCTTAAAATGGTTAAAATGGTAAATTTGACATTATGTGTATTTTGCCACAATCAAGACTTTTATTTTTTTTTTTGAGAGAGAGAGTGCGCACATGTGTGTGCAAGTGGGGGCGGGGGGGGTGCACAGAGGGAGAGGGAGGGAGAGAGAATCTTAAGCAGGCTCCACGCCCAACATGGACCCTCACGACCCTGAGATCATGACCTGAGCCGAAACCAAGAGTCGGACGCTTAACGGACTGAGCCACCCAGGTGCCCCCCACCACAATTAAAGACATTTAAAAAATGGCAGGGACGGGGTGGGGGCACCGAGGTCAAGAGTGACTAAATCAGGGGCGCCTGGGTGGCTCAGTCCTTAAACATCTGCCTTCGGCTCAGGTCATGTTCCCAGGGTCCTGGGATGGAGCCCCGCATCAGGCTCCCTGCTCCGCGGGAAGCCTGCTTCTCCCTCTCCCACTCCCCCTGCTGTGTTCCCTCTCTCGCTGTTTCTCGGTCAAATAAACAAAAAGTGACTAAATCTTTGTGGAAGAGCAGGGTCAGTGTCCATGTGCAATGGGCCAGAGTGCCTGGGAAGGGCTAAGCCACCTGGCATTAACTGCCATACAGCTTCGCAGCCTCCCCTGGCCCATGTCGACCCCTGGCAGCCCCTGCAGAAGCAGCTCGCCCTAGGTGACCACCTTCCCTTACAGACACACTGAGCGCCCTGAGAGGCCCAACGGTACCTGATCCCAGGAGCCCAGGAGCCCCTGAGAGGACGATCGTATGTCCCTATGGCTTTACCCGATAGACTCTCTTGAAGTTTCCTGTGTGCAAAGCCCTGGGTTTTCCATCCATAGACCACAGCCTCAAGGAGAGACTTTTCACCTTTCCCACTTTCATCTAAACATCTCTGCCTGTATCTTTTATTCATTCATCTTTTCATTATTTATTGAACATTTGTTGAGTGCCTGTCATGTGCTAAGAGCTGCCGTAGGTACTAGAGATTTCATAATAAACAAGAAAACCCCCACCCTCGTGGAGCTCACAGTTCAGTGGGAAAGATAGGCAAACAAACCTTAGGAATGAATTCACACATCCGCCAAGGTCATGGGCTGCAGGGGCTGGTAGACAGTCAAGGGAACATATATAGGGCCCTATAGAAACTGCTTGACTTGAAATTAACCCAAACCCACTTACTGATGACTTTTCCTGCCACTCTCCTACTTATGAACTCTCCCTTACATTAAACCGAAATCTGGCTCCTTCTAAGTTCTACTCTGTCCTCAGACCTGCTAAGCAATGCTCAGAATCCTCTCTTAATGCTTCACTCATCACTTTTATGCATCATTTCTCTAATCCTAGCCCAGTCCTGACCTTCCCCTTGCACTCTGTTCCCATAACCCCCACTTGTCATAGGCATTTCCTATGCCATCCTCCTTAGACAAATCCCTGCCCCAACCTCACCCCAACATATGCTCAGCCTGGATCTCGTTCCTTCTTATTCCCTTAAAAAGATTATTTGTGAATGTCACTTAATCATGATCAGATAAAGTCTTTCTCCTAATACTTAAAAAAAAAAAAAAAAAATCAGAAGTAGCACCTGAACAGAATCTTACTCTGGGTCTGCACCATTGTCAATAAAATAGTTTGCCTGAGATTATGGAATAATAGAAAATAAATCAAAATAAAATCAAATGTGCCTGGATGGCTATTACACCTCAAAATAGCAAAACCACATTCACCTTGTTATACTATAAACCTCAGAAAACCCTCTGCTATGACTCTGGCCATGTTAGTCTCTGAGTCATTGCATTTAGAGTAAGAGACATGGGACCCAACAAACACACCTGGCTCTACCAAGAGTTACTAGGGGCTCCTGGGTGGCACAGTTGGTTAAATATCTAACTCTTGGTTTCAGTAGTGACCTCAGGGTCATGAGACTGAGCCCCCTGTAGGGCTTTGCACTCAGTGGGGATTCTGCTTAAGTTTCTCTCTCCCTTTCCCTCTGCCCTTCCCCCTTCTCTCTCAAATAAATAAATGTTAAAAAACAAACAAACAAACAAACAACTTTCTACATGGAGTCCTCTTCCTTATTTCTGAATCTCCTTCCACCTCTGATCTCCAGTTTCCCATCCATTTCTGAATCCCATTATACTTGGAAATTTTATCTTTTCCTGGTCTACCAGAAAGCCCCAACAGCTTTCCAAACAGGGACAAAAGTTTATATCCCTCTCGCCCTTCTTCACCAGGTAACTCAAGAAGCAAACTAACCAAGAGAAGTGACTGGTCCAAACCAAAGGGAAATTCTTGGCTGCTTCCATAACCCTCCATGTAAGCAGAGATGGGGCCCCCATGAGGCCATGGAGAGCTCACTCCTGCACCAGCGAAGAAGGCCCAGGCAGATGGGTGGCACGGGGCAAGGACTGATGTCAGAGCAAGAGGAGCCGGGAGACGAGTGGCAAACACCCCTCTGTACAGGTTTTCCAGGCATAAGTGATGCTGTACTTTGCTATCCAGAAAGAAGGAGCCTTCAATCGTTTGGGAAAATTCTGAGGTCTGAGCCAGTACAGGCCTTGAGATCTCCCCAGAAGCTTTCAAGCCTTGCTTGTGCAGATATAACCTGACAGTCAAGCTGTCAAAAGCTCAAAAAAAACGCAGAATCTGGAGGGAAAGCTAAAAAATAAAATAAAATTTGGTTTCTTAAGCCTGGGCATAAAGTTGACAGCATTTTTAGTAAAAGTCTATGTCCTCCAATGTCAAAAATGGGTATCAATTAGAAAAATAGAATTTTCTTGTTTCTTTCGCTCTAAATTTGCTGGCCACAACTGGTTATTATGATGGCAATAATCTAATAAAACACTGGAATTAAAGCAATGCCATAGTTTTGTTTATAAGTCTGACCTAAGCATCTAATTGTTTAATTGGTCACAGGCAGACTCCACTCTTCCCTGCCCTCAGACTGTCTTGAACTATTTAGCTGAAGGTGTCTAAGAAAATTCAGCAAAATTCCACTTATTGGCATAGTTCACAGATTGTGAGGTTCCCAACTGGCTCTAGTATGAAATCAGCCTTTTCATTGCTCCATGTACTATTGCCATCTGGTGGTAGAGGGAATTGCTACAGGGTCAAAACTTGTCCTTTGCTGGTTTACTCCTAAAACAGTTTCTTTTGCTTATCTTAGTTTATCAGACATTGAATACATTCACTTTGGATATTTTAGTAGGATTCAAAGCATGGTACCATTGAAAAAACAAAAGAGTTTAGAGCTTAATATTTTAAATAAGGCTGTGGGTTCATTTGCTCATTTATTCCATATATCCTTCCTAAGTACCTGCTATGTGCCAAGCACTGTGGAGGGCATTGGGACAACAAGGAAAATGAGACATGGTTCCTGCCATCTAGGAACTGAGAATAGTTCAGTAGGGAGACAGGCAAGTGGTCAGACATATCCTGCAAGAGTCTCAGGAATGTTTGGCACCTCAGTCAGCGCCTGGAATAGTATGCACATTCAAATATTTGTTAAAGGAATGCTGAATGAGTGACCTGGGAACACACAGTAGGGACACCTACCCCAAGCTCAGTGGTGGTGGCGCAGGGTATTTAAAATATGTACCATATGTCAATATGCTAAACTAATGTGCTCACGTGGAGAGGAGTCTGGAGGAACAGACATATATTTCACACTATGATGGCACCCATACAAAATCTGTACTTTCTTGGAAAATTTAGATAACTAAGACACTCTATACCACAAAATACCAGTTACCCAAAGTCTTAGATGTCTTAAGTGAGGCTGTTTATTTTAATTAACACAGTCTCCTTAGCATGCTTGGTTAGGAATGCAAAGTCAAGTGACATTTGGTTATAATGGGAAAGAAGAAATATACAAACCTTTCTTCTCTTGCTTGTCTTTGCTCCTCTCTTTTGTCTAAATACTCTCGGCTAATGGAAATATGCAGGAGAAACAAAATAGGGAAGGAAAATAACAGAATTAGATGCTCATGAAGTTGCCAAGAAATTACTGACAGTGTATCATGAAAGACTTTATTGCCTCAGAAGTGGAAAGTGGTTGTGTTGGATTTTTAAAAAAACAACAAATACAAAGGCTACATTTTAAAAGTACTAAATATAACGGATTTCCTATAAAATCACAGAGATGAGAACATGGGAGACTACAATTAAAGAAAGAAGAAAAAACTTTTTAAAATGTCAAACAATACACAAGTAACATATGGCAACTGCAAGCAAGCAACAGCTTTCAGAGACTATTAACATCTAATCAAATTCTGGTAGGCTCCACAACTTTCATCTCAAGAATTAAATATGGGTGTGTCCAGGCATCTTGGCCATTTTGTGTGGCACTCTACAGTTTGGACATTCATCCCACAGTGCAGGATTCTTTCTCTTCACCCTTCACATTCCCAGTTTCTATGCAGGGATCATGGGAAGCTCTTACTTTGTACATTTTCTTGTTTGCACTCACAAAATGCCAAAGTTCGTCCAATTTTAATGTTTGTTGTTCTGCTCCGGCTGATGAGATTCCAGCTTGAATCTAAGTTTAAGACTTAAGATCAGGGGCGCCTGGGTGGCTCAGTTGTTAAGCGTCTGCCTTTGGCTCAGGTCGTGATCACAGGGTCCTGGGATTGAGCCCCGCATCGGGCTCCCTGCTCAGCCAGGAGCCTGCTTCTCCCTCTCCCACTCCCCCTGCTTGTGTTCCCTCTCTCATTGTCTCTCTCTCTCTGTGTCAAATAAATAAATAAATAAGAATTAAAAAAAAAAAAGACTTAAGATCAGCCACTTCTCAGTGGACCACTTATTTTCTTGAAAAATTATGACTTCATGGTTTTCTACACCAGATCTCACAATGTAGTTAAGTATTCTACCCCTCCATGCACTGGTAACAGGATATGAAGGGACAGTAAGTCAGAGCAATTAAAGCAGGAGAAGGAGAAAACTCAGCAAAGACCCGGATTTGTTATCATTTATAAGCACCTGTCCTCATCACTTTCCACATTAGAACCCAGGAAGCTTAAGATCATATTCAACAAAAATAACAACAGATAAGGATGTCCCATAACCCAGAAAGCTTAAGATCGTATTCAACAAAAATAACAACAGATAAGGATGCTTTGCAAGGGAAAAAGCACAAGAAGACTGAGTAACTTAATAAAATGGCTGAAGAAAGGTCAGCCATTTGGGTAATCCCAGGGACTACTTGATAAAACTTTTCCTATTTCCTTTTTTGAACTGCTTTTCATTCACGTCCTAAGACTTTCAGGATGGAACTACAGTCATCATAATTAATAGCTGTATGTAGTCTGTCCTGATGATCAACATTCCTTCTTGGACAGAGTTGTTTTGCCAGGATCTCTCTGTGTCTTAAATGAGAAGTGAGACCCACTTGGGACCAAGAGCAAATAGTGGATAGTTACGAGTACAGTCTTTGCCTACATACATACAGACAGGCAGACAGCTTAATATATAGTACAATGCACTCTTGTCCTGGTCTTCTGGGACTCAACTATATGAGTGCGAGGCATTCTGTTATTGTTCGATAGCTCCCTGAGAGAATGTACATTTTTTCTAATGTTTTGCTTCATTTTTTGGATCGGATAATATTCCTATTGTTATATCTTCCAGTTTAATGACCCTTTCTTCTCTCATCTCCATTCTGCTATTGAACCCATCCAATGAATTTTCCATTTTGATTACTGTATTTCTCAGTTCTATAAGTATTTCCATTTGGTTCTTCTTTATAGCTTCTATTTCTTTACAGAGACTTATATTTTCATTAGTTTCAAAAGTATTTGCTTTTACAATCTTAGAACATGTTTATAGTAGCTGCTTTAGTCTTTGTCTGATAATGACATCTATGTCCTTTTGCAGTTAGAGTATTTTGATTCTCTTTTTCCTTTAAGACTCTCCTGTTTTTGTGTGTGTGTGACAAGTTACTTTGGATTGCATTGAGAACATTTTAAATATTTTGAAAGGACACTCTGGGTCTTCCTTGAATTCTATGAAGAATCTTGTTTTGCTTTAGCAGGCAGTCAACTAGGTTAGGTTCAGCCTGCAAGTTCTGACTGCCTTCTGATATTGGTTCTGATATTAGCTCAGTTTTCAAATATTTTTAATTTTCTCCAAATCTAGCCCTTGTGTGCACCCATCCAGTGGCCAGTCTGGGACACTCTGTATTTAGTTCTCAAAGTCTGTGATGTAGTTTAGGGTTTAAGCTACATGTGCACAACTGGAGATGAGCTAGGAGTGCTCTCTTGATTTTTCTACTCTTTGTGGCCTTCCTATAATTTTCTGGCTTCCCTGGGTCTCCCTTCCTGCTCCTCTAGCCAGAAAGCTTGAGCTTTATCTTCTATGTTCTGCTGCTACTTTCAGTAACTCCATCTGCACCCATCTGCAGTGTGCCAGAAGGACACAGAGAAAAAAAATGGTGATTTCCCTAGCGCTCTTGGAGTCATAGTTCCTCTGGTCAGAGGAAGGTTCCCCTCAGAATTTTAGGCACCTGTGGACACTGCTGCCATCATTGTGCTTCTGTAACAATATAGCTTCAAGGCTGGGGTAGGAAAAAAGGGGGAAAATATGAAAAAACAAGACATTTCTCCAGTCTGACTCTTAGGACCTCCGTTTGCTGCTCCTTGGTCCAGAAAGAGAGGCTCTCTCTTAGTTCACACTTAGTATGTGCTTCTGGGTTCTGGGGTACCTCTGAGGACACACCAGGTGATAGTGGAGGAAAAGAAGGGTATGCTCTCACTGGCTTGGAACTTAGAAGACTAGCCTCTGTCCCCAGTTCACCTGCTCCCTTTTACAGTTTGGAATTTTCAGAGCTCCACACATTCTGTCCATGATTTCTGATTGCATTCAGTGATGAAGTAGAAGAGACAGGAGGGAGTATACATATTCCATCTTCCCCCAAACTGGCACCCAGTTTTAATAGGTTTTTCCAACAAAATCCTTATATATGTAGACGAATCTCTGAATCTTCCAAGTGTTTCTTTCAGATTCTCTGCTTCTACTTGGTAGCAAAATATGCAAATCTCTCAGAAAGCCCTGCTCAGGAAGGATTTAACCTGTTCCAGTGGTTTTACAAATGGTCTTTCCAGAAGCGACAACTTCCAAAGTTACCTCATGAGAAATAGTGTATTCAGGTGTGGCATTTCCATGTCTAATTTGGGAAAAGTCTGACAGCTCAGGGTATGCCATGCGATCACAGTGGAGGAATGATGTTGGTTTACTTCATGCAGGCCATTAACCCAGCCTTACAAAAGCCAGGATTCGCACTTCACCCAAGACTTGGGAGATTTGTTTCCATGTAATAGAGTTACAGTTAAGGCAACTTCATAACTCTGCTTATATTTTGACCATCTCTACAATTACACATACTCTCCTGGGTTCTGAAAAAACATTATTGAAACTGTAAATCCTCCCTTACAATGTTTTATACTCTCTGTGGGTTTAAACGGGAGTGGGTTTAAAGGGAATACTGTTTGCCAAAGAAACTGAACTGAGGAAACAGGAAGTGAAGATGGGGTGAGAAAAGAAAACAAGAAAGAACATAGAAGGTCTAGGAGCGATGACTGGGAAGATGACAAAGGGGGAGATTAGGAGGAGGAGAGGAAGCAGGGAAAGGAAGAGTAGAAGGAATGAAATGTGTAAGGAAAGACTCAGCAGGTGTCCATAAAGCACCACACAGCACGAAGCTCAGGGGAGAGAAGTGGAAGGAGGTCGACCAGGAGGCTGGGGGAGAACAGGTGCACAGGCTGGAGCTGGAGGAGAAACAGAGCAATGCTGGATTCAGCGGGGACAGACAGGCCGTGACAGGAACACAGCCTCAGAGCTGGATGGAGACCAAAGAGATCAGTGGGATAATGGGCTGGGAGTAATCGTCAGAATGCCTTTCTCCTCCATAGGAGGAGAGATTATTGTTCAAAAAAATATACTGAAGATTGCTACAGGGAGCAAAGAAGCAAACCAGAAAGTGGGAAAAGCATTTTCTTTTGGCATCCAATAGAATATGAATAAATCATGAGTAGCTTTAGGGGGAAATGACAAATTAAGTTAAGACAATTAGGCTCTCAGTCTTCAGGAAGGCCTGGATAAGACCATTTTAGATAATGGAGGACCCTAAAATACACAAGTTCCTAATTGTATTTGGCTGGCTTTCTGTGCTTCCTGCCATAAGGTTAGAGGAAAAAAGCCATAACAAGCCAGAGCTAGCCCATTTCAGGAATGTCTTGCTGTTCCTTAAAAACAGAGGCAGAATCTAAAGCAAACATATTCCTACCTAACCCCTCAGACCAGTATTAATCAAATAGAGCAGGAAGGTATGTGCTTTAATTTTCAATTTGTTATTTACAAAATCTTGAAATTCCTCTTACTTGAATTTGTTCCTTTCTTCCCGTTCTATTCTCTGCAGCCTTTCTTCTCTCTCCTGCCGCCGCCGCGCTCTCTCTGCTGCCCATGACTCTTGGTGCTGCCTAAAGGGCGAGGTGAGAAGGCCACTCAGTGATGACCTAAAGACACAGAGTTTGGGCTTTAGTGGAGTGGTCTGTGATGAAAAGTACCCAAGTAGGAACCAGCCAGATTGCAGTTAGAACTGAGCGTCTGGTCCACTGGTACCTAGGGATTGCTGGGGGAAAATAACTGAGTGTCTCAGGATCTTCATCTGTAGATGGAGGTAAGTAACACACTTCATGTGCTGGAAGGACAAGAAGGTGGTAATGTGTATAAAGTACTAAGCACCATGCTTGGCATACAAGCAGTCATCAATAATGGTGCTGTTATTACCCAAAAGAATTCCAGTAATATGCATAACATAAATACAGGTTCATCCTCACTCCCCCCCTCCCTTTCTCCCTCTTTATAGAGAGATACACACACATTTTAAATTTGTCTACAGAAAGATTATACAGAATCAACATTCAATCTAAAACTGTTTTCTTACTCAGCCATCAATAAAAAAAAAAAATGAACTCTTACCATTTGCAATGACATGGATGGAACTAGAGGGTATTATGCTAAGCGAAGTAAGTCAGTCAGAGAAAGACAATTATCATATGGTCTCACTCATATGTGGAATTTAAGAAACAAAACAGAGGATCATAGGGGAAAGGAGGGAAAAATAAAATAGGACAAAATCAGAGAGGGAGACAAACCATAAGAGACTCTTAACTATAGGAAGCAAACTGAGGGTTGCTAAAGGGGAGGGGGTGGGCGGATGGGGTAACTGGGTGATGGGAATTAATTATATGATGTAATGAGCACTAGGTGTTATATACAACTGATGAATCACTGACCTCTACCTCTGAACCCAATAATACATTATATGTTCATTGAATTTAAATAAAATAAAAATAAATCTATCTTTAGGAAAAAAAACTGTTTTCTATTTTATATATGCTAAAAATATTTTACTGTACACCAGATTCTCAATATACCCCCTCAAAATAATTGTGTCATCTTAAAACAGGTGTTGGGATAACAGATGAAGAAAAAAAGACACAGCAATGGTCTGAAATCTGATTGGAATTAAGGAAATTTCATTCTATGTCAAGAAGCGTCCAAGAACATACAGCATGTTCAAAGGACTTCACTCATGGTGATACCACACAATCTGGACTGTCCACTGAAGATGGCATCATGGGGACAGCCAGCTGTGGGAGGCCTCAGTGAGGGATCACAGGGGTGGATATCACAGGAAATGTTAAGTCAGGAGAATGGGTGGGAAAAGGGAAAATTATGTAAGCACGTGAACAATAAGGAAGGGAGTTTGTTGGAAAGAGGAGTCTGTCGGACCTCTGGGGAATAACAAAACAAATCTGTATGGACAAGGAGGCCTTAATTTATTGAAAAAAAAAATTCCAAAACTAAGATATAACTATTTCTGAAATATTGGTTGGGTGAAATCGTACTGGAATTCAGTGAAAATATGCCTGCCTAGTGGGGAACACAAGGTTCCTTAGTGTGGGAGAAAGAGGACTCTGGTATCACTCACATTCTGCCGTAAGTCCCACGCCGTTCTCCCTAGAAAAGTGGGGCTGCCTCTGGCTCTCGTTCAGAAGTGGCAGAAGTAGAGGGAAGAAACTGCCATTCCTGGTAGCTCCAGGCTCACTAAGGAGCTACTCCCTCAGCCCTGGACACCCAGGCATGTATAGAATTTGATTTCTCTTTCACATGAATGAAGTCCAGACTATCTTGCTTAAGTTGCTCTTATTTTTCTGTTACATGCAGCTAAATCTAAGCCACAAAGTGGACAGGTTTACTATACCTCTCACACAGTGATAACTGTTATGGACATAACAGATTTTTTTCAGCTTGATTCATAAGTTTAACATGACAAAGGAACATATACACCCAATGCCCCAAGTTAGAGAAAACATTCTTCTCAAATACACAGAGACTGTCTAAAAACTGACCACCGATCCTGCCACAAAGCTCATAAAGAGACGCCAAAAATTGGTTTCATATGGGCTACCTTCTTAACCACAATGCAACTGAGTTGAAAATAAGATAAAATTTAAAAATTGATATAATTGGAAAATTGTAAACACTGCTAAATAACTCAGGCCAAAGAAGAAAAGTATAGAAAATTGGAAAATATTCAAAGGGTACTATAATGAAAAAGCTATCGGATGCTTCTACAGTAGTACTTAGGAGATTTATTGCCTGCAGTGTTTATATTAGAAAAGAAATTAACTCAATAATCTGAAAAGCAACAGTAGAATAAATTCAAAGAAGGTAAAAGAAAGGAAATAAAGGTATGAATGAAATAGAGAAATCAAGATATATAGAGAAAATCAACAAAATCAAAGCTGATTTATAATTTTTAAAAATAATAATATTCTGTCAAAATTGTTCAAGAAAAAAGCTACAAATAAGCTATAATCAAAAATGGTACAGATACAACAATATTACGAGAGACAAAATTACGAGAAAATGAGGAGAAATTTTTATGACCATACATTTGGAAACTTTGAAGAAATGGACAATTTTCTAAAAATAACTTACCAAACCTGACTAAGAAATAGATATTTTAGAAAGCCCTATTAACCTTAAGAAATTGAACCAATTTGTTACAGATATATCCAGACACACCAAAATGAAACAACCCCCCCCGCAACAAGTCTCAGATTTTTTAAAGGTATTTTCTATAAAATAATCAAAGAAGTGCTCATTTTAATCATATACAGAGTTTTAGAGAATAGAAAAAGCTCCTCAGCTCATGTTATGTGATTACTAATACTCTGACACAAAACCCAAACAAGAACAGTATGAAGACAGAAACTTATATACTGACTGCAAATATAAACACCACCGCAAGATCTAAAATAAAATCACGTTTTGTTTGTCCAATGAATGCAAGGATGTTTAAGATGAAAATATCAATGACTGTAATTTACCACATTAATATAGGAGAAAAGCCATGACTACCTCTGTAGATGCAGAAAAAGCTTTAAATGCAATACTCATTTGTTATTAAACAACAACAACTTCAGCAAGCATAGGACTGGAGAGCACTGTCTTAACCTGACAATGGGTATTTAGCAAACAAATTTTTTTAAAACTATGGTAAGCATTACTCAATGCTGGAACATTAAGAGCATCTTAATGTTAGAATTGATCAATCAGTGGGGAAATGATGGACTATTTAACAATTGCACTATTAGCCACATAAAGCAAAATACAATTAGGCCTTCCACATACCGAACACAAAAATAAATCCTAGGAGTTTAAGTGGAAAATGTAAAAAGCAAAACTTTGCAATGTTTAGGTCTCAGGAAAGAACTTTTATACCAGAAACCAAAGAGGGCAATTAAACAGGAAAAACTTGATACATTAACATTTAAAATTTGTATGCATTTATTTAAGAACAAAGAGAAGCCACCACCTAGGAAGAGCTACTTGTAACACAGATAAACCACAAAGGATTAGTATATGTACAACAAAAAGAACCACTCCACATTAGAAAAAAAGAAACCACTCAGTGGAAAAATGAGCAAAAGATAACGGACATTCTGCTGAAGAAGAAAATTAAATGGCCAATAAATATACAAATGCTGCACTAGAAATGAGGGAAAAAGAATGCAAATTAAACCCATAGTGATGTATTGTTTCAGAGGTCTCAGATTGCAGATTGACAAAAACTAATGCCTAATGACCTGAAGCACTGGTACAGAACAAGACAAGAACTCTCTTACGTTGCTTCTGGGAGTCTAAGTTGATATAATCATTTTGGAGAAGCACTTAATACATTTGAAGATGTGCACATCCTACCACCCAGCAATTCCACTTTCAGATTTATACTAGAGAGCAACTTTTGCATGCTAAAGATGGCCAATACATACAAGAATACTACGTGTTACACTGTTTTGTACTGTTAATGTTTAATGATTAGAAATATCTATAGAGAAAAACAAAAATATAGTATATTTTTACAAAGAAATACCTTATACCTGTGAAAAACGAATAGAGTGAAATGGACTAACATGGATGATTCTCAAAAGCACAATTTATTTACAATGAAAAGTAGTTTGAAGAATATGAATAGTATGCTATTATTTCTGTGAAGTTTAAATATATGCAAGGCAAAATCATACACTATTTAGGGATATGTTTATATTTAGCAAAAATATAGTAACATGTATGGAAATGATAAAACCAATTTCAGGTGGTCATCACTGGGGAAGAAAAAAATCAAAGGGACAGGGCTTCAATTTTATATACAATGTTCTTTATAGCTCTCTATAACTTTCTGTCATTATCTAAAATCTTCTGTAAGCCTGGAATATGTTTTTTGAAGTCAGTCTTTTGCTCTTTAAGAATCAAAAGTACTTCTCTTTTAATATCAAATATCTTTGAAGCTCCAAGCTAGCTGAACATCAAAAGTTAAGTCTAGTTCCAGAATTTTATCTGTAAGATTTTACTTATTTACTTAAGAGCGAGTGAGCGAGAGAGCACAAGTGGGGGAGAGGAAGAAGCAGGTTCCCTGCTGAGCAAGTAGCCCAGTGTGGGGCTCCATCCCAGAACCCTGGGATCATGACCTGAGCCGAAGGCACATGCTTACTTGAAAGAGCCACCCAGGCGCCCCTAGTTCCAGAATTTTAAAACAAAAAATAAGGTACTCTACGCAGGAGAATTATTTGAGGGACTGTTTCTCCCCTATATGGGGGATTTGAATCCAGCACAGCTTCCCAGCCTGCCCTGTGTGGTTAGTCTCTTTAAGCCCTAGCAGCTTTACCTTCTGAGATCTCTTTTCAGAGGTAAGAGACAGGAGCCAACTTGGTGGTCTGTGCTCTTGGGTGAAGAGCAAGATAAGGACCTTGCCACTTGCCTTACACTTCTGACTTTAGTTTGTTCTTCTAAACGTTTCTGCTTACTTTAGGAAAAACTTAATACATAACTTACTGATGGGCCATTAATGGCTATGCTAATGAAGGCCACAGTGAAGCTTCTCTATATGGTACATAACATCATTTCCTTATATAAACTATGAACATTAGAGCCTGTATAAAAT